TATTGTATAAAAATGGTTTTACTTTTGTTGTAGGCTTCACGAGAAATTAGGTTACATATACATTTAGTCTAATCATTGCTCCAGCCTAAATTCAACTTTCAATTGTCTAAAGGCAAAGTCGTAAGCAAGGGAATAACTTTTATTAACTATGCAATCCGCGATTACTTTTGCATATTATGGACCAAGTTATTGTGTACGCCTATAACCCCCTTCAAAATTTCCATCACATACAGTTCAGGATAAATTTGTACGCAGTTTATATGAATATCAAAACGCTACAGCCCTCGGGGCCAATTAAATATTCAGCTCAGTTGGACAAACTGCGGTGGTCTTGGATTCCGTAAAAATAAAAGTTATTTTCTACTGGGCCGAAACAACTTCCTTGACATCCAAGTAGACCGAAACGACTCAAGCCAAACCAACGCCCCCTCCCTCTTCGACTCTTCCGGATAACTAGGTCACACATGTCTGATGTTCAACAGCGGGATGTAAACAAACTATGATTTTTCATGAGAGAGAGGTTATATAGCTTGATCTGAATTTTGTTTCCTCGTGTAAGAAAGTAATGGGATGGCAATTCCAGGTATGTCACTAAGTTTTAGTCGTCTAAATTAAAAATTGAAGAAATGGCAAGCAATTGTCGTGTCGTAGTGTCACCTGGAACAGACAGTAGTGTCTTACTCTTACTGTCTGAGTCTTGGTAAATTTTAAACGGATTTCTTCGATTATGAACAAACTACTTAACTTTGGTTATTATAAACTTACCTGTGTGTTTGTAATGAACTCCCGTTCGATAAAATCCATTGCACAACTAATTATCACAACGATGAAAACAAGTTCTCTCTTGAAAAATTGAAATATCACAAACTTTTCCCAAAGAAAAATACCAATATGGAAGATGGTCACGTCGCTCTGCGGAAGATATCATTTCGTATTAGGGGTGACAGCATAGGAAATTCAAGTCAATTACGACAAGAATCCATGACCACTCGGACCAAAGACCACTCGGTTCAAGACCAGTCGGACCAACTGATAGACCACTCAGCCCAAACAAATAGACTACTCGGACCATACAAAAAGACTATTCGGACCCAACACAAAGACGACTCGGACCAATAATAAAGTGTTGTTTTAATAAATTGATAATTGCGTTTGTTTTAATATGATTACTCGAACCAATAATAAAGTGTTATTTTAATAAATTGATAATTGTGTTTATTTTAATATGACTACTTGAACCAATAATAAAGTGTTATTTGAATAAATTGATAATTGTGTGTGTTTTAATATGACTACTCGAACTAATAATAATGTTTTGTTTGAATAAATTGATAATTGTATCCCAAATCGCAAAATATCGAGAACCACACTTGTAGTCACGTTTAAAAAGGGGCATATAAACGTCCGGTCTTCGTATTATTATGTGCTGTTTATATTAACGCATCAAGGGTGGATAACTTGAAAACGTGTCTCCCCCCCCCCCCCATATATAGTAACCCAGGGGTTAGTGGGGTAGAACGGAATGAAACCACTGGGGATACCGCGAATGTTGAAAAAGTAAAATTAGGCTATCAGACAAGAACAGTATACCCGTATATGTAGAAACTGTCAAAAGTCTGGACATACCGAGTCTCATTGCAAGAGTAAATAAGAAAAATTAGATTGATATTTTTTTTTGACACCATTATTAATTAATTTTAAAACTAATCGTTGATTTATTTTCCGTACACAAAATTGAACTAAACAACTCTAAATATAAGAATTCCGTATAAGAATTATTTGCTTCTTTGTATTGTGATTTAATAATAAATAAATAGCATATTGTCTAGCCTTATAATATAATTTAATTGGTCCGACTGGTCTTGTTTTGGTCCGACTGGTCTTAGTCCGAGTAGGCTTTGGTCCGAGTGGTCTGGATACCTACGACAATTGGCATTGAGTTTGAGCGTTCGCACACATAACTACCCGCATTCCTGTATTTAGTTACCGTCTTTTACATTCTAGTAAAGTCTCTGCAAATTTTATAGCTTTACTTTTTGAAATATTGTGTTCTAATTATTTGATTAGCGACTCGGATGGGATTATTTACTTTTGAACACGCATGCCGCACAAACACAACTATACATTCGTTTTACGGGCTTTATCACACTTCGGTCAAAACTGTCGAATCGAGAATTAATGTTCCGCTTCTAACGGGGTCATACGGGCTTAGTAGCATTATATACCCACCCGGGCACCCAATAGGCACGCTGAGGTCTGCCGCAACAACATGCTTAAAGATGTTACTGAAGCGGCTATTATTCGATCGAAAGAATGCGTATAAAATTAAAAATACACTCAGAGAATTCGGAGGTAAGCTTCATGATCCTTGTTAAATTATTTATAACATAAAGAAGATAGGATATTTATAGTTTATACATGACTTTATTTTTACGAGTATCCGTGCAATCAGTGATATTTTAATTGTGAAGAGAATTTGATAGACTGGCGATCAATGGTTTCCATATAAATCTCCTATGTAATTGCCTTCAATTGATATTTTTCGTCGCCCAAACCCGTATACGATCAAAATGATCGCGCTGTCAAACTATCTTTCAATGTTAACCAACCCCCGCAACAGGTATATTGGATTCGACCAATACGTCACGAAAACATTGTTGACATCGACTCTGTCGAAATTACAAGTAAATTTTCAAATTTTTCAAGAGAGAACTTGTTCTCATCGTTGTGATAATTAGTTGTGCAATGGATTTTATCGAACGGGAGTTCATTACAAACACACAGGTAAGTTTATAATAACCAAAGTTAAGTAGTTTGTTCATAATCGAAGAAATCCGTTTAAAATTTACGATGGTTCACACAGTAGTGTAAATCCTCCATTAAATTGTATTTTATTTATCTAAGGTGATCAAAAATATTTTTCAAATCAAAGGTAATTAGTTTTGGATTTGATCGACTACATGTACAGTATCTGTTATAATTGTTTAAAAAAATCAGAATATTTATTAATCAGAAGCAAGATTCCAACATTGAAAGTGTGTTTGGCACTTTTATCGATGATTACATGTAAACTATGTCGTAGGTGAGCCCCATATTGATGGGGGGGGGGCATCTGGTTCATTCGCAATTGCAGACAAAACCTATTTTGAATTCATATATCTATTGTAAGCTTATACATTGTAGATGCAAAATTTTATTTTGCCCATATGGGCTTTTCCCTGACAATTCTGAGCTAGTTCAAATTATTTAAGCATTTCTTCTTAATATTTCTGCAACTTTTTAAGTTTTCAACCTTTATTTCAAAATATGTTTTTTCATTCTTAATGTTAGCTAAACACTAGCCTATTCATGATCATTATCAAGACAGCAGGCTAGACAGGTTTTAAGTATTTTGTTATGTAAAATGAATGATTTTATTAGAATTACACTTATAGAAGCAGTGACCTTGTTGCATTCTCTGTAATCTCCCTTGATATTAAGGCATTTTTCTAGTGAAATAGACCGGTCCAATATCCTTAATCAGTGTCGAAAAAACCTGACTGACAGCCACATTTTATGTCAGTGTGATCAAAATACCTTTTGTGGCTCTCATACACCACTTCTCTACACGGATGGGACGTTTTGGGGGGTTTATTTGATCTCTGTTCGTCCCAACCGCGAGCGATTTGCAAGGTAAATCGTTCGCATGGCTTTGTTTACAAATGCTATGACCAGGCACTTGACCCCAGAATTTTTGACCGCAACCCCGCAAGCGAGACCGCTGATTGGCCAAATTTTAAATAGATGCGCAGGATCCAACTCACATCTATGCAAATATGGCTCCGCACTATAAAGAAATAAGTCATCGATTTATAGCCTATTTCGAGCTTGAACTATTAAATTGGCAAATTTTATTGGAGAACTTTGTTGACATATTAATTGCACGATTATTGATAGTCCGATTTGTAGACCGGTTTAGCGGGAGCGAAGGTGACAAGATTTTCACCCCGAGAATACGGCCTACACCCTACGAGTGTGCTACTTCAAATTTGTGTATCTCAAGACTTCGATGGTCCACCTTACCCACTGTAGTGGACAGCTTCCAGCCAAACGAAAATATGGGAAAAAGGTAAAAATTGTTTAAATAATCAATTTAATAGGAACACGGTTTAGAGGTGGTGGGTATGTGTGTGTGTTTGGGTGGGGGGAGGGGGGGGGGGGCGATTACCCGCTTTGAAAATTAATCCCGAATGGTATATTTGTTTATTTAATTATTAATGTTGGAGAATTCCACCGAAGATCTGAACTATTATGACGAGATAACTAGTTTGTACGATTCAGTCAAAGATCTGACCGCCGGTTTCACGAGACATTCTCAGACTTAAGTTAAGAATTAACCCAACTTGCATTTACTGTTTATAGCACATATCTTTGATCCAGAAACACATACATTTACTGTTTATAGCACATATCTTTGATCCAGAAACACATACATTTACTGTTTATAGCACATATCTTTGATCCAGAAACACATACATTTACTGTTTATAGCACATATCTTTCATCCAGAAACACATACATTTGCACGTTAGAAAATCGCGATGGATTTTCTGGGCCAACGCAGGGATCGAACACGGGACCTCCAGGTTAGCGAGCCACCGTCTTACTAACTGAGCCACAGTGACTCCCTCGTAAATTTAAACGCTGTGTATAAATTGAGAGAGAGAGAGAGAGAGAGAGAGAGGGGGGGGGGGAGTTAACGTACACTCAGAGAGGGGGAGTTAACGTCCACTCGACACAAACTAGGTCATTTCGGGACTAACATATGGTTCAATTTTATTTCCATAATTCGAATGCGCGTAGGGTTCTTTAGCAGTGGGAGGAAACCGGAGGACCCGGAGAAAACCCACGAGGATGGATGTATAAATTAAAAATCATAACCTTAGCCATCAGAGGGCAACAAGCAACTGTAGACGACGGACGGCCATATGTCAATATGGATGTAATGAAAGACACTGATAATTTGTACAAAATATATTTTTATTTTAAAAAATCGAAACAATTTCAATGTTTTAAACATACATACATAAGATGTTAAGATGTCATTTGGAATAAAAAGTTGTGTACAATTTAACTAAACTAGACTAATAAAACACATTTCTGTGACCATGATTCTAGCAGACATAATTTTGACAACAAAATATAAGGGCACCGTATATGAGGTTTTGTTTTCTGAAATGACGACGCTGATGATCGTGACTCTATAATCAAGACTGAGTGATCGAGACTTATTAGAAGTTTTGGATATAACAAAGACTGGATGATTGAGATTTTCGGATACAAGAATTTCCAATTGAAATGAAAATCTCTTCCCTAATAAGGTGAACAGAACGACTGGATGTTCTTTCTTTCGCTGAATTATCAATTTTCATTAATTTCACATATTAAAAGAAACCGGAAACCGTTACTGAATCAGTAAAGCGCCATTTGCATCAGATTCTGTCAATGCGTTTGATTCTAAAATAAAAATACATATGATCAAAGAAAATAAACTATTCTAATGCTAATGAATATCTAGTAATGTCTAACCACAATAATCATAAACAACAAGATAAAACAAAGTTCACATGCAAAAATAATGAATGGCAATGAAGTTCACATGCAAAAATAAAAATAACATGAAATAGTTCACGTGCATCTTCAGACAATTGTGATACCATTTCTTACACAGTTCGATTGGGTGTGTTGACTTTAGGCCAGCTTTCAACGTACGTGTTTCTGAGTTGCGTTTTCGTCTCGTCTAAGGATGTTTTCCATATACAGGTTTTCGTCCTCGAAAAAGTCAGGTTAATGCAAATGTTATGGTACCGTTTCCATAAAACCGTATATGGAAAACGGACTTAAGGTCTGTTTATAATGAGCGCAATCTCGGTGACAACCGCATTCGATTGCTTAACTACTATTTCATCTAAGTCGTTTGTGCTGTCGCGAACGCGACCGAATTTGGCCAATCAGAGTGCAAGGTCAGAGTCATACATGTGGCTTATCTGTGACATCTCATCCAAGACGGCTTCGCGACCACTTTCATTTACGAATATCCGTGCGTATCGTCGCTTTCAGTACGAACGATGATTCGCGCGGAAAATCGCAGAGGTCGCAGTTCGCGATTGCGGTATTGGTAGCAGCTCAGTTTAACCCGAACTTTAATGTAAATATAATGGTCCCATTACATTTGCTGGCGAAAACGCGTAGAGAGAGAGGAGAGGAAATTGGGTTTAACGTCCACTCGACACAAACCAGGTCATCTCGGGACTAACATATGGTTTAATTTTAATTCAATAATTCGCTTGGCGTAGGGGTCTTTAGCAGTGGGAGGAAACCGGAGGACCCGGAGAAAACCCAGGAGGTTGGACAGGCGACCCAACTCCTTGTCAAGTACAACCGGGGATTCGAAACCAAGCCTGTTGACTCAATGACAGGCTTTATGATACAGCGCGCACGTGCTAATCACTCAGCCATATAACCCCCCGAAAACGCGTACAAGGAAAGCAGATGGGCCTTTGACTCTGAATATTAACATAAATAAAGATACAAGTAATACGAACATAATATCAATAATTGTTGTATTTCTTAAATTTTCCAAAAAAAAACCAATATGTGGGAACATGACTTTAGAGATGAGTGGAATATTCGATGAGCAACATTAAAGGAATAGAAAAATATCAATTGTTGGATATTTTAGATAAAGGAATGAATAATTGTTGTGTGTTGGTCTATTAACATAATTATATAATAATATTATATGTTAATGGACATTTTCCGGAATATCTCTTTATTTTATTCCCAGCTTAATCGACGCTAAAATTTACTCGAATTTCTAAATATGAATACAACACCAAATTATCAACGGCGATTAGTCTCCAGAATATGGGAGATGCTAATTGTAGGCCGGTTGGGGAGGTTTGGGTGTTTCCTGAGTCCAAAATGGCCACTGTATATAAATCAGAATTTAGGAAAATACTAACCCCAACACTAAACCTTTTTAGAAGACTAAGCTTGGATCCAATTTACCTTTTACCACTCTTAAAAGGGTAAGGGTTCGGGTTAGTATTCCCCAAAATACTCATTTATATAAAGCGGCCATTTTGGACCCCGGAAATACCCGAACCTCCCCAACCGGCCTACAATTAGCCTCTCCCCCCGGATTATCTAGGAGTAGATCAATAAGTACATCTAAATAATATCAACAATATTATACTGGATTACCATATATCATTAGACCATGCTAAATATATTTAAATCATACATCGAGATTTATTGACATAATGTAGTGTTATCACAATATTGCACTGGTCGAGTACATATAAATACTGATTTTTAGACTGGATAACCTGGTGCAAAATGACGTTATCACCGTTGCTACGTCACGGCCTTGATTCTGACCAAAGCCATATTGATCTTTGATTCTGACTTCAAAATACACAGTCAGATATAAGTGACGTAAGAACGAGTGCCCCACCTGCGTTAGCGACAGACGTTACGTTTGTGAGAATACACGTCTATATATAGTATGGTGTCAATGGTGACTAGATTTTATAGATTACATAATATACATCCTGGACAATCTGATATTATAAATAAACAGTGGTCTGAATCCAGGCCTTGGCAGACTCGATCAACACAGGTTTATGTCGAACAGTGTTCCAGTTATAGAGATGCTGTGCCAAGAACAAGGTGTGCGGCACACCAGTTAGCGCACAGTTCGGCTCGCATGTCCATAATCTTGTTGTTTATTTATGATTACATTGCCACTTTGTAAAATGCCCCTGAACATGTTTTATGAAAGGGTGCACTATAAATATTCTGTAATAATAATAATAATAATAATAATAACCATGCCATAGTAACATCCAAATGCTGCTCCAGTTACATTATCAACATTAACATTTTTGTATTGTCTACTTTCAATAGTATAAACGTGTTGCTATGGTGATAGTAATAATTGGTCCCTGTCACCAGCTTATGTTTATAAAAAAAAAATTTTTTTAAATGAAAATACAAAAATAAATGTGAAATATAAAAAAACCTACTTATTTACAAAGAAGGGATATTGCTACAATTATTGCTATAAACACGATAGACTGTATATTTACAATATTTAAATAACTCTAACCAAGTTTAAATTAGCAATTATTCAATGATTCAAAATAAATCTATGGCATGATTTCAAAATTAAAATGGCAGTTTATTGTTTTAAAACAACCTGGTATCAACAAGATCATACAGGAATATCATAATCTGGGATGTTAAAAAATACAACAAAAAAACAATATATAATAAGCACAGATTGAGACATAAAAATATCACCCTTGAGCAAGGCTATGGTGAGTTCCCTTCCCCTACCCACTGCCGTCCTACAAACCAACCAAGTTATCGTGAGCTAACCCCACCCCCACTCCATCAGTCCTACGCCTGAATTAAAGGTCGTAAAACTGGGTTAGAACGATTAGGATCATTATCTTGACTTAAAATACAGATGTGACGTCATCCTTTGATGTTGGCGTAACATTATTTCAAATAATGTACGGACAACTTGCCAATCGTACATTAGATGAAATATTGGACTCGCGTGACGCATTTCATTGAAAAGCACGTGCGGAATTGTGTCTGTATTTTAAGTTCTTTAATAGTCTCGAACTAAAGTCATTGTGTAATATATTGAAACAACACTCTGCTAACGCCTCGTGAAGTATCAATATATTACTTACATCATTTAAAAGTGACCTAGAATGATCGAGACTAACGTGTATTTATAGTAACACAGGGTGAACAGTAAACACTAAAAACTAAGTACAATAAAATCTATTTAGAATTCCTTCCACACGACCGATCTTGGTTCTAATTCTCGCGAGATTTGTTTCGACACATATGAACACGATAATAGTTTTAAGTTTGGCTTCAATCGATATTCGCTATCATAAGTTGACCACGTGACCAACAACGTATTCTCCATTTTTGATGTTTATATTTAGAATGACAGTTTAGGTAAGTAGACACAATACCGCAGGGTCAAAGTATTCTCCGTTCTGGAATCTACAATGGCCGTCTCTATCAACACTTATTAATAGATCTGTACTTACTGCGGGTTAGCGAAAAAAAACCCGAAAACTTAAAATGCAGATTGTTCAATTTAAAATAAGGCATGATTTATGACATATTCGATTAATACACGCACTAATTATGGCCAATATACGCACTAAACAGTCAATGCACGAACTAAATATAGTCAATACACGCACTACATAGTCAATGCCGCCACTTACTATTGTGAATTAGAGCCGCACGCACTAATAAAATGAGACGTCTACACTAATAAAATGAGAAGCACGCATGAATGAAATGCGATGCACGCACGAATAAAATGAAATACATGCATGCCGCAAAAATTCAATGAGATGCACACACTAATAAAATGAGAGGCGCGCACGTATAAAATGAAATGCACGCACGCATAAAATGAAATAAACATACGCATAAAATGAAATGCACGCACACATAAAATGAAATGTACACACGATTAAAATGAAATGATCGCACCAATAAAATGAAATGCACGCACTAATAATACAACTCATTTATATTCGTTGATAAACAGAGTAATATCAATGTTTTAATGGATAGATTCAACGTATTGTAGAGATAATAGGTCGTACTGGAAGACAAACCCAAGAAACGTTACGTTACAGTCGAATCTTGCATTCTATATTCTACGTCTTGTGTCATGAAAGTTGTTAGAAATGTATGTTAATTGAGCAACCGTGCGTGCTGTCGATAAACACACAAATTTAAATATATGCGTCCGCGAGTGTTTTCTTATCCCATCGTCTGTATGATGTGGTTCGTAGTAGGTACGGAAGATGGTGGATATATTCTGACCGATATCTAGGCAAATGAATCTTTGACTTCCCCGTCTAGTTCTGTTGTAGGTTTAATAATGGGAGTTTTGGGGTCTGCCAAATACAGCTTCCACAAACATAGAACCAGATCCTTCAGCACCATCTCTGTAGAGTTCTTCGCCACAATCTTCAGCACAAACACGCCGTCATCCCGAAGATACTCGTCGGCAAATTTACGACAAAGTTTTAGATCGGCCGATGTGCGGATTTCGTCATTAAGTTTGAGATATTTTTTGGCATATTTGCTCCTGTTCTGTTTGATTAGTATATGGTACAACCAGGCAAAATAATTCATACTGGTCAACACCGCGATAAAAAATAACCAAAACCAAATAAAGATGAAGATTTTTTCGTTGAAGAGATTAATGGGCAGAACGCACTGGACAGTGAACCGTTGGATATTTTGTAATTGACGGATTTCAAAATCACATAAGGTCACTCGGGGAAAACGAGGCGATTCGCTCCAGTATTCGGCATGAATGAGTTTACTCATGACTTCAAATCCGTACATGTTATAGTCCATGGACATAAAGGCATTGAGAATATAAAATTGTCCGATGATGTTAAAAACGTATAGCGCCTTTATGAACAGATAAAAGCCAGTGATGTAAGTTCCATCACGTTTACCAAACCAGAAACAACACATCCCGCTCAATTTCTGTCGAATTCGGACCAAAACATTAAAATGATATTGACGGTTTGTTTTGAGCCATCTATCCATATATTTAGCTATGTGTTTAATCGTTTCGTCACGTTCTTTCGGACTGCAGAGTTGTGTACTTCCGGTCAATGTCACCATCCGGTCCATATTCAAACCTCCGCCATTATTGAGCATGCGCCAAAGGATGTTTGGAATTTTAAACATGAGCGCCATGAAGAGAAAGATAATGGGCACCCATTGATAATAAGTTATTTCTCGGTTTTGTCTTTCGGTGATATCGACAGGTATCGTGTCATCCATGGGCATATAGTAGGTGTTGGAGATCCAGCAGATCTGTTTTGCATAAGCGACATAAGCCCCCGTAAATTGAGCCGGGCACCAACAATGGATCGGGTCACCCACATATTGGGCGGAACTCACGACGACTGTAAAGATGGCCAATAAGACGACAGTCCATATATGGTTTAATCTATCTATCCAATCATCATCGCTAGCTCCTCGTAAACGGGACCACGAGGCCAAACCACTCAACAAACCAAACCTGAAACATACAAACATAAATATTTAGTGATAGGAAAACATTGAAATAAAACAAACACAACTTTACGGAAAACAGACAATTGCTAGCAACCTTTATAAAGCAACGTTTCGACAAATATGAAAACATTGCAATAACACAAACACAAAACGATCACTAGCCACTTTTCTAAAACAACGTTTCGACACGTGTCCTATTGTCGTTACCAAGCACAAGGTAAACAATAATATTACAAGGGGATACTTGTTGAAACGTTGCTCTATTAAAATTGCCAGTGATTGTTATCCATAAAATTTTATTTTGTTGGGTTTTTTTTTTTTCAAGAGGTCTACGTTTAGGAGTTGCTTAGAAATTTTGAATGTGATGAATAGTAAGCGATATCTGCTAAAATCTCCTGAATAGCACACGTGACATAATATTAACAGATCTGCTGCAAGAATTAGGACAATTTAGTGTAGCATTACACTTCAAACACTTCAAAATATGTACACATGTGAATTCAATCTGTTTATCACGGAGTATACGTAAGTCTTCTAATATCTCTGTAAAAAAGATGACTGCCTTCAACACATGACGTCATATCAGGCGGCGTCAACCATTGGCTCAATGGCGCGTGCATTGTTTACAAAATACGTTACTGATTCGAGCAGAATGGCGCCTTTTACTCATTTTTATACCCATTTACACTAAAATAGGAAATAATTTGTACCTACAAATACTTCAAACGTCTTTATTTATCTTTCTAATACATAAAAAAAATGTTTTAGAATTTAATTTGTCGGAGGAAAAAATTTAATATTTTTGGCTCATTAAGTCGCATCGATGTCATCCTTGTAAGTGATTGTCGCGGCCTATCGAATATTCACTGCGGATCAGTGTGATGTGAATTAGCCGACAGCAACGTTAATTATAAACTAATTAGAATTGTGTGTGTAAAACAGTTACCGATAACTCTGCTATTGTCTAATAGAGTTACCCTCCCTTGGGAATGAGTGTTTAACGTTGTTGGTTAAACTATACCATCCCAAATGAGCAGCGTTGGTGTGATTAATTTTTCAATCCGAGAAATTGCTCTCGTTTTTTGTGTGTTAATTTTATTGATTTTAAACTTGCGGTGTAAAATACCAATATATTATGTATTCTTCTCGTTTTAGAACTCAACGGTTCATCATATGACTACATGTACATCAGAGCCCATCTCCAAGGCATATTCTATAACCTCCTCGAATTTCCCAAACCTATTCTAGTCTAACTAGTGTAAAAGCATTTATGCAAATGTCTTTCTTTTGCCTTTGTCTATATTTTTAACCTTTTGAAATAAATTAATATAAATGAGAAAAAAAAAGAACTGTTGGGTCACTAGACATTATACTAAATTTTGGTTACGAAATTGACACTACATGCGGTATACGGAGTCGCTGAGTTTAAGTCATTGTCATTGTCCCTAAAACAAGGGAGTGTCCGGTGCGATCCCGGTGTTGGTCGTAGAAAGGGAGGTCTGGCAAGGAACAGTGTCCTGTCGTTCTGATAGAAATGAAACACCCAGTTTCAAGGTACGCATTTGCTTGCACGCAGTGCCAGGTATACATTTGCTTGCACGCAAAATAACCCACGATAGTTGGAATGTAAATTGCTACCGGGGCTAATTTCCCTCGCAGCATTCTGGTATCTCCGTCATTATTAATCTGTTTCGTGGAGAACAGTACACCAGTAAACACCATTTGATTAAACATACATTATGCAAGCGGTAAACCTGCCTGTTATATAAACTATTAATCAGACATTTATTAACATGAAAATCCTATAATCAACTGTCGATGTCATCGCTAGCCTAATATTTACTGGATTGGAATCCGACCAGTTGCTCAACGCTCATTGATGATTAAATCAAAAAATGGGCAATCGAGATGATGTTTTTATCGTACCGACTTTAGTAATGATGATCGAGGCTACGCCTAAAATTCAATCGTTAAATTATCGGTTCAGAGTGGATCAATTTCAGCAAATTGCCGTTCCAGTATGTGGGGGGTTGGATGGCCGAATGGTTAGCACGTGCGCGCTGTATCATAAGGCCTGTCATTGACGTTAAGTTCCATTTCTCTCTCTCTCCCTTTACGTTATCCGGTTTTTAACTATTATAGTAAGAACTGCCAGCTCGTTATCGAATCATCCATAATGTATCTTTAATACGTTGTTCCTTGCCAGGCCCTCATCCAAAACAACTAAACGGGGGGTAGGAGGGCACGCCGGAGAATCCACATGAACTATCTCAGCCAACACTTGGATCGAACACTGAGTCACCTCGTCTCCCGTATTATATAACAGTGGTGGTAATAGATCTTCAACAGTGGACGTAAAACCCCAGAAACGAACGAACGAGATCTTCAAGTTGATTTGTAGACCATTAATTATTTACTGCCTTGTTAATAAATAATTGTAAATTAATTAAAGTAATTCCTACAAGACGAGTTTATTATGGTCGTATGGGTGGTCTCTCCGGACAGATAAATTGTTACATGTAGTACAGTAGACACTAATAGATATTGTTCAACTGGACTAACAAAATTATATATTTGTTACATGGATGGCAATAATAATAAAATAAAATGGGGTTTAAAGTCCTTCCACCGACCTGGATAATGAAGACCGGCACATGTCGTACAGTGTGATATGAGGGAAATTCTGCCCGGGCAGTGGCACAACGAACTACTCCAGTATTTCGAATTCAATCTGTCAGGAGTTTTTTTTTAAGTGCACTCCAACATCTACATGAGAGAGAGAGAGAGAGAGAGAGAGAAAGAGAGATGGGGTGTAACGCCCACTCGACCCAAACTAGGTCATTTCGAGACTAATATATGGTTAAATTTTATTTCAATAATTTGCTTGCGCGTCAGGGTCTTTGGCAGTGGGAGGAAACCGGGGGACCCGGAGAAAACCCACGAGGTTGGACAGACGATCCTACCCATTGTCAAGTACAACCGGGGAATCGAAACCACGCCAGTTGACTCTATGACAGACCTTATGATGCAGCGCACACGCGCTAACCATTCGGCCATCGAATTCCCGTGTACATTGTACCTAGGTTCCTCGTCCCATCCGTCCAACAACACTGTTCGCTGTCAGGCAAATTACGCCTGGAAATCCCGAGGAACTGTCTCGACTAGCACAGGGAGTGAACCGGAGACCTGATTATTGCTTAGCGATCCATCGTCATACACACTGAGCCACCGCGGCTACCAACAATAATACAATACATAGTTATAGAAAAAAAACTACGCTAATTATCATTCTAGCCAAACAAATATTTCTTCTTTTAGAGTATCCACAAAATTACGCCAGTCTGTCAGAGAATAATCGTGTGTTTCCGGGGGGCGGTGGGTCGTCGTATTTGCCAACACATCGCGCCTGAGCAGTGGCGAGATTATAAACACGACAATTACATTTTCAGTCTTATCACCCAATTTCTGCAATCTTTATGCTAATATTTGTGACTGTCGTTTGTCTGTTCTGTGTTCGAGACTAAACTAGGCTGAAATTTGGTGAGTGGGGGTAGCTCGGACCGGGAAGTAACATAGTCCTAATGGCGTTGGCCTATCGCTTCCGGTTTCAGAGTTATTTTACGGTTCAACCCGTGCAGCGCCAGGTCATCCGCCAGGGTTACCATATTTATAACATAGCACAAGGCTAATAACGAATTTTAAATAAACCGAAGTCAAGATGAGAAATACTTGATTTAATATTTGTTTTTGGGATCAGCTGTACTATGTTTACATTTAACATGCGCGTGTGAAACACGTGCTGGGGGACTATCAGTATGTTTGTTCAATGACCATATGGACAGCTTGACCTCGAGTTTATTTACACGACTGGACATCAGCCTCCTTTATCCAGTAATAAATCTATATAAAGCCAAAATACATCCACAACTCACTGGGTGTTCTTTCTAACATGTTAACCAAACAAAGACGATATCACGTGTGGCTGATTTATTTTACAGACCCGGAAATCTGGAATTTCTCGCAAACATCATATTTTATCTTCTCTAAAATAAGTCGAAGAGATTTCCACAAGGGTCAACATAAATCTGACCCCTGTTTTACTGTAGTATTCAGTAGGGGATTATCAGTATGGATAAATTCGGGCATCAAAGACTATTAATCTTCTAAAGGAACTCTATTATATTCCCAGTGAGCGAAATCATTATACATTATTAGGGATAACTGCTAAATAAACATTACTAATGATGCTGGAACAGAAGAAATAGAGTATCTCCCTCTAGAAACTGGACTAATTCAAAGTTATGAGCCTGCCCGGAGTTTACATGTACGTTCATGTGATCAAATACTGTTGGTAAGGCCAAGGTTGGAAAATGAAAACATTCGGGGCAAGAGCTTTTAGTTTTCTTGCTCGATCTTCCCTTTCATCAAAAGCGCTTGGTGTTTTAAACCAGACTTAAAACATACGTATATCTAAACATTATAGTCCGTCTTTCAAGTAAAACGTGAACCCGAAAACACGGTGCGATTTTAATTAAAACCAGCGGCTGCCAGGCAGGATACGCCCGCATTTTTCAGGAGATGGATAGAGAACAAGCTAAACAAAGATAGGTTGCCACGCAACGAAACATACGCCCACAGCAGCTAAATCGTCCGGGCAGTCATTTTTACTTTTTTCGGTAACAACTCGTTATGTAATTATCAGAAAACCATTAGAATTTGTTTGGTTTTTATAAAGTTCTGCCCCATGTTAAAGTTTAGTATACGAAACTTTTAACATCATGGATTTAACTGTTCAAGTCATAAATTCATTGAAAATCAATATACTTGTTCGTTTCATGACCTTAAACTCTGTGTATCAATCTGAAGTCAATCGGATGATAGCTTAAGCTTCTAGAGCGTCACAAGATTTTTTAAAGTGATCAAGGACCATAACTTTGGCAGTAGTTATCGGAAATTGTTGAAAATCAATATGATTCTTCGTCCCATGACCTCAAACATAGATGT